CTTTATTCCTAAAAATAGGAACAAGCACACTCATCCACTCATCTAACACCTTTTTTGTCTTCAAAATAATATTAAAAATTTTAGTAAGCCAAAAAATTCCTTGATCTCTTACGCATTTACATATTTCTATTGGAATATCATTAGTTCCTTCTACATTTCTACATTTCATTTTTTGTAAAGCCTCTCCAACTTTGATTTTACTAATATGACGCTAAAATAAAAATATCTAGTTTCATTTAGGGTACTTCGATCACTTAAGTCGTATTCTCACAACCTTCATTGAAATGTTTATCAAAATATCTCATCAAATTATGTTAACTATCCTCTTCTAAGAAAATTATTTTTTGATCTTCATCTTTAGTGTACTTTATTTTGACTAAATCTTTACTTCTCCTATTTCTTTGTTTGACTAACTTATACATTAATATTTCGCCCACATATAAGAAAAGTGCAAAATTGGATGCATAATTGGCCTTGTATAGTTCACCCATTTTCGAACCCAAAACTTCTGCCCATTGGCTATATCTAAAAGAAATCATAAGAAAGTGCCTTGCTTATTGTTAGCTGGTCTAGGAGGGACTAATCAAGATGGTCCGGAAGGGACCGACCCAGGTTTATACCAGGCAGAAGCCTGGTCCGCCCCATTCGCCTTCCTTAGGGTGGGCCCAGGGTTTAATGCAAAGGTGGAGGGGGTGGCTAGGAGGGAATTTCAAATTGGGAGGGCTGTTTTGGTATTTTTGTTTGGATTGTATGCTTTAAATAGTATTTGTTTACCATAGGGTTAGGGTTAGGTTATGTTTGGCTGAATTTAGTTTTCCTAATGATAGAAAGTACTCTAGTAGGCAGCTGGATTTTGGGAGAACCAGATCTTCCTCTCCAATTATAGATCCATTGTATCTTGTTGTTTTCTTCCATTTGTCATCAAAGGTTTCTTCTATTTCTTGAAGCGCTTCCTAATATTTATCAATTTTTAATATTTAAAAAATGATTTTGATAGAAGTAGAAAGTGGTATGCTTCTAATTCAGCTACTAGATTATATTTATTGCAATTAAATATTAAAAATGATGTCATAAATCACATTCAATATCTTCAAAATTTGACTTGATTATGCATTTTATTTTGGGTTCTTAATAAGAAGTTGATACCAATACATGTCATAAAAGTATCAATTGCAAACCTATGCAAAAAGTACATCAAAAGTTGGTATGAAAATTTTTTGATGTCATAGCAGCCTTTTTTAGCTATGCAAGTTCTAGTCGCTTGGCTAGCAGACATGTCTTGTCATTTGAACTTTCTGATCGTTTTTATAATTGGCATAGCTAATTTAGGCATTTGTTATTGAATTTATCGGTTTGATCCTACTCTATAAATAAGAATCCATAGTAGTATCATGATATGTTGTAATGAATGATGATTGATGAAGAAATAGAAGTTCTATTTTCCATTGAAGGCCGTTTGTTACAAGTAGAGGAGTAGATTATGTCATAACTCACCAATTGATTTTTTTTCTTTCAATTTTAAACCATCTTCTCATCTATTTCCATCTTTCCCTTATTATTTACCTTTATTTTCATGAATATTATTTCCAAACCAAGTCATCATCTTGATCAAGGACTTTCAATTCTATCGAGCATCAATTTAGTCATAGAGCAGAAGTTTCCATGTCATTGTTAATCAAATTTTGTACCTTATACCAGAACTTTACATCTTAGAATTTTATGGCTTAATGTGTAAGTGTTCTCTAGAGAAGTATGCAAGGTTTGTTAGGGCATCACACAAAGGTGATGCATGACCGCATAGTCTGATTGAGGAAAAAATAAGTGAGGGTTGGCTATGACGTCTGTTACAAGTGGTGCATTACTACTCAACTCAATTGTGATAAAAAATGAGCAAGAGTTGAATAGTTTTAAAATTAAGATTAAATTAGCTCCATGAAATTTGAGGGCTTTGGATTAGAAGCCAAGAGAATTAGTGAATTCAATGATTTTAAGACAGATTAATATTTTATTATGTTTGGAAGTAATCTATGACTTGGTCAACATGCTTGTACCTACATGTGGGCTCCGAAAATTCGGCCCCGGCCTCTGCCCGCTTTTCTTTTTATTCGGCGAGGGAGTTTTAACTGAATAAGTTCCGGGGTAAATTTTGGAAGGCAGATGGGTTTGTAGATAAGACACTACCCAGAGATTTCGCCCCCATTTTGTGAGGACTTTATGATCTGAGTTCTGGTTTCCTATAGGCACAAGCCCTTATAGTTAATTACCCCTCCCGATAATGAGAGAGAACTTTCGATTAAGGCTAGTCGTCAATCAGATACGTAGAGAATACGTGTTGCGTGCGTGGAAGTGGGGTCGGACGACTTGGAGTTCGGCACAGTGAGGTTTGGTCGGAGGGAGCTGAGTGGATCGTGAATGGAAGAGGTAGAGAGGCAGTGGAGCTCGGCTCTTGTTCGGCTATGGGGGTCGGTCGGTAGAGGAGTTTCGGGACAGAGAAGGAGGTTGGGAGCTGGGGTCGTGCGGAAGCAGAGAGCGAGTGAGAGGCCAAATGCTTCTCTTGGTCGGGTATTTAACGACGGGAGCTGGAGTGAGATCGAGGAGATCTTTGCAGACGTGCGATAGGACCATTCGGCGCCGATTGCAGGATATGGGGCACTGTAGCAACGGCGGGATCTCAACTGGACTTGCGGCATGGGCAACGACAGGTAATCATTTTAAGCATTTTTTTTATTTTGTTTTCTTTTATCTTGATGCAGAGGTCAACACTACATCAGTTAGACATGAATCCATGCCCACGAACTAACTATACTTTATACAATTAAATGGAAAGTGCAAAATAAAGGCACAGTGAGAAAGTTAATAGCATTGGGAGGGTTAATAATGGACATGTCTTAGGAATGATGATGTAGACATTATAAATGTCGTTATTTCCCATGCTCTTTAGTTGGATTATAAGATAATTTTTGAAAATTCAATTTTAAGAAGAGATGGATAAACTAATGACATCTATGATTGAGGAATATGAAAAATGAGTAAAATACGGATATAATTATTGACTAAAATTTTGTTGAAATTAAGTGAATGAATTTCTGGCAGAAAATCTTATGAAAATATTGTCGTATTAAGTGAGGGAATTTTTGCCAAAAAATCCATTGGTATCATAATTTATATCTTAAGCTGATACCCTCTCTTTTCCCTAATTTATATTTGCTCTACCTTCTACGAGTTCTCGAGAAAACATATTATGACACCCATCCTTGCTCTAATTCGACCGCTTAAGGCGCCGTTGACACATAAGAGATGCTATGATAGATTTCATAATACCATATAATCTTATAATTATAGATAGTCTTCTAAAAATTAGAACAACGTTTAGTTTCAAAATTGAAGCTACTAAATATCAAATGAAAGAAAGAATGCTTTTGCAAAGATTATAAGATGATTCCAAGAGAAAATTTAATCTCACAATATAGAATAATAAATTAATAATTATGGATTTAAATAGGAGATAAAGTTTGAGTAACAGAAATAATATGCTTAGGATTGGAAGAAAAAAATGATAAAAGTTGTTTAAGAGGGGCAATTTGAAATTTGATAGCTAGGCCAAATTAGAGGATGATATGATTTAATCTATTTAAAATATTGTCGTGGAAGCCTTAGATGAGTTAAGAAATACATAATAAATAAGGAAACTTGTTAAAGTGGGGAGGCACAAATGATTTTTAAAAAAATTAAATGCACTTTTAAGAGCAAGGAATAATACATATCATTTAGATTTATAATGATTATAAAAAAGCCAGAAGTCCTATAAAAAATTTTTCGAGGAAAGAAAATTGGATGATTTTTTATAATTTATGCAATATCTATTTTTTCTCTATCTCCTCTCCTTAAAAAAAACTGTATTTTTAACTCTTAAATAACTCTTTCAAAACTAGTGCTAAAACAACCTTTATCTCACAAAATTTAGTTTCCAAAATATTCAACTTACACATCACAGCGCTTAACGCACTAGGAAGTGATGTTGCACTTGTTGCATGAGAGTTTTAGAAATCTAGAATGTGATGTCCGATACCAAGCCTATTGCAAATTACTTGGAAAAAATATAATATCGTGTAATGGTGCCAGTTTTGGCACCATGGCATTAGTCTTTCTGTCCAACATGTAGTAGAGAACCAAAGGTATGCTGTGGTACTAGGCTTCCCTGTTGCATGTATAAAATTCTTTATTTGCAAGGCTGTCTAACATAATGAACATGTAAAATCCCAAGAAATACCCAATAACAAACTGAATATCAAGAAGTACTATAATTTTGAGACTAAGGTTTCGTTTTGGACGGCATTCTTACTGCTTCTTAAAGGAGCTTTTAAGTATTAAAATTTTAATTTTTGCACTAGAAAGCTACTTTGAAAAACAAAAAGAAAGTCATTCCAAACGAAACCTAAAACTCACTCGTTACCTATTTTTATGGATCACATCATCAAGTACTAGATTCATATAAAACTCACTCATCACCTGTTTTTATGGATCACATCATCAAGTACTAGATTCATATAAAACTCACTCATCACCTATTTTTATATATCATCATAGCATGTTTAATCAAAATAAGATAGATAAAGCAAATGGTCCTCAAATTATCAAGTTTGTAGTTTACTCGCAAGATTTGTGTGCTTGGGATGATTGTAAACCCGCAGATCTCATCATATTGTACACTTAGGTTTCGTTTGGGACGGCTTTCTTACTGCTTCTTAAAGCAGCTTTCTAGTACAAAAAATTAAAAATTTTGTATTAAAAAGCTTGCTTTGAGAAGCGGCAAGAAAACCGTCCCAAACAAAGCCTTAGTTATGGCCTTCTCATTTATTCATATAATAAGCATGTTATAAACATTTTGTGAAGCTTTGCGAAGGACGATAAAATGGAGTCAAATTGATGGTTACTCTTGGTTATCCTTTTATGTTATTCAATAAAGTCATTGCTTTTATTTAGAACATCTCAATGTGCAGTTATTCAGCAATCATCAAAGTTCCTGTTGGCTTCCAAGCACTAACTAAATTAGTTGCGTGGTTCTATACGGGAGAACTCCCAAGAATAAATCTGGATTGTAACTGGAGCAATATGACCACAAATCAGCAACTCCATGAATTGCAATCTTACGTGGAACTATCTTGGCTTGCGGAATTCTGGTTGTTAGAGGAAGTTAGAGAAGAAGCCTTGAATGTAGTTTTGTCATGCCTGGAACTAAACCAGAAACTATCAATGGAGATCATAAACTTTGCTTTAGAACTCCATCAATGGAGGATCGTGGAAGCTGCGGCTAAAAATATTGCTCCTTTGTACCCAAAGATGCGCGACTCGGGGGATCTTGAAAACTTCAGTGAAGAGGCTGTGGATTTGTTGCGATCGGAGTATGTAAGGCGCTCTCAAAAGGGATTTTCGAAGGATGGCTGAACTCTTTTCAATACTCAACTGGAGCAAATATCACCAGAACAGATTGAGCTTGAAATATAAACCATAAATTACAAATGAATCAGAGATGCAACGCCCTTTCAAAGAGATTCAACGGCCAAGTTTTACCATTTTTTGGCTGTTCTTGAACATGCAAAGGTTTTCCAAGACCAACTTCCTTTTTTTCTGGAGTAGCTTTCATTTGTAGATTGTAGGGCTCTCATGTTGTAAATTTGAGATTTATGTGAAGGAGAATATTAGTCTTGATACGGTTGTATATCATTTGTTGCACATGTTCTATATTATTTGTGCAGGAAAATATTTTTTATCAGTATATGAAATGTAAAGTAATCAAGGGAAAATTTTTTAGCATAATTTTGCTTCATAACCTATGGAACCATCTGTCTGAATTTTTTTTTAAAGTCCACACTGTTTTTTTTTTTGTAGGCTTAAGGGTCTATGTTTAAGCAAATCAGGCATGCAAGTGACGTGAATTTGCTATTTTTTGCTTTTTTATTTAACTCGTGGTCATTTTATTTATTTTCATTAATACTAATTTAGATATTTTATATCATTTGAACTAACTGATCATTTATTTTTTGTAATAAGTATATTAGAACATTATTTATGTTTTGGTTTGTATAGTTTTCTTATTGATTTATAAATTAATTTTTTGGTTTAATTTATTTTTAAACTAGAAAATTTTACTAAAAAATTGTTTTAGGAATCAATAAAAAAGTTGTTCCAAAATAAGGTATTAATTTTTTTATATCAATAGAAAGTTGCTTTAAGGAGCAATAAAAAGCTGTTTCAAATAAAGTCTAAGGCTGCGGTTGGAATATTTTTCTTACTGCTTCTTAAAATATTTTTTTAATATAAAAAAAATTAATTTTTGTACCAAAAAGCTGTTTTAGGAAGCGGAAAGAAAGCTGTCCTGAATGCAGTGTAAGTCTTAATTTGTTACTTTGTCTTTTAGGCTTTCAATCTATAAACAGAGTTTGAAATTTTTCTGGGTGATAAATGTAGTGAGCCAATTCCTCTGTGGGATTGACTGCATGAATTGATATGATAAACAAAAGCATTTATCCCATTGTGGGATTGACTGCATGAATCCATTTTCTTCATTGTGTTCTATTAAAAATCAAATTCTCATCAAAATCTAATAAAAAAAATACTTTCTAATATTTTCTAATCAAGTCTTTTTAACTCTACCTCTAACTTTTTTAATATAAGTCAAATATACTACTACTTTCCTAATCGGGCCATTGAAAGACCATCATTTTATGTGACCAAATCATATAAGATGACTTTCTCTAATCTTATTTTTCGTTGGAACTACTCCAACTTTTTCGTGTATATGCTCATTTTGTATCCTATCTGCAAGAGTAAAGTCACTCATCCATGTTAGAATCCTCATCTCTACAATACTTTACTTAATATTATGCTATATTATACTTCTCTTTTAATGGCCAACATTATGCACCATAAATCATTAAAGATCTCACTTCCATTTTATAATTTTTTTCCTTAAGTTTGAGAGGAATTTTTCTATCACACAAGCCCGATAGATTCCTACACTTCAACCATCCAATTTAAATTCTATTAATAATATCCTCATCTATTTCACCATCACTTCGAATAATAAATCCAAGATATTAAAAATATTTGCTCTTATTAATGACTTGATCACCCAAAGTCACAATCCCCCACTAGATCTATTATTAAAAAAATATTACAATTTTTTTTAATGATTCATATTACAAATTCTTTTTCTAAAAAAAAATCATAGCACAATATCATACATTAATAAATTTTTTTATTTTATATTTAAAAATAAAAAATATCAAATAAAATTACAATTATCTTGAAAAAAAAATATTAGAAAGTTGCCTCAATGGCGATTAGGCTGCCCGATGCAATCAGGTGGCCTCAGCATCCACCTCAATGCCCTAAACCATCTCTCTTATTTAGGAGAAATTATTACATGAAGAGCCCAAACGTATCCAAACTCCAATGAAAACAAGATATATATTATGCAACAAAAAAAAAATATATATTATGCACTATATATCAATTATACATTGAATGTATACAAATCACATGGCTTAATTTTATTGAAATCCGAACAAAAACTATATCTAAACTCCGCACCTACGAGGTTAAGATGTCACACTAGGATTTATTATTCTGTGAGGAGTGCGGATGGCGTCCGAAGACCAATAAAAATATGCCAAGTCACCCCATTGCTCGTTACCCACACTCGATAACACACTCGATAACACTGGGTACTGCTGGGTACCCAGTACTTAACCAGACAATTCTCTCATCCGATGTCCCTACAGAATCAAAGCTCCACAACTGGAGACATTAGCAATGCATGCCTCTTTTATCATATTGTCTTTCTTACAAATTACATTAGAAAACTATTGCACCAGGTCATTCTTCAATATCATTTCTAAGCAAACCACGACTTATTTAAACCTGTAACAGTAGTAAAGAATTGCTAGTACAGTTCCTAAACCCCGTTTTGCCTTAAGTTTGGTCATTTTTTTATGTACAATAAATAAAATACAGAATCTATTAAGAATATCACTGAAAGAGTCATGCAGAAATGACAGTGAAATCTTTCGTTCAGCCTACTAGACTAAAAACTGTAGCTTTCTTCCTGATTCTTTTAGCTTTTGGTCATCTAAGTTCCAAACAGTTAACACTACAGTGAATCTACGTACATGCATATTGAAGTAAACAAAAGCTTCATCAATCAACAACATCAAACTTCAACAATTCCGAAAGCATATTAAAGTGTACTAATAGATCGATGTTAAACAAAGACAAATTCATACGAAGTTTGACAAAAACTTAGAACAAATTCTTAGCAATCCAACAAGATTAAACAAAATACTTAAAACAGAAGAAAGGGAACTCCTGACGGAAAGAATGCCTCCTTGAAGACTCACACTTCTATTGGATCTCGCAATAGAAAATCATGAGATTTGCGGAGGAGACAATGTCGAAATCCCCCTACTTAGATCTTTGTCGCATCTTTCGGCGCTTCCTCTTCAGCCTCCTCATGCGCTTCTTCTTCCACTGTAGAAAAAGATTGTAGGACATATGACAATAAATTGGCAGAAAAATGAACTAATAGCAGGACCATAGAAACAGTTCTAAGGAACGTTTGTCCGACTTACCACAGAAAACATAACTTATTAGACATGATATTTGTACAAACCAATTCTCAAGGTAGCTTATTCAAGAGAAGTAAACTATCCCTTTGACTTTCTCAAATAATATGGATACCAAAAAATAGTGAGTAAACCATGGCGAGGATTAAAGATGGCCTTGATGCTCCACACAATAAACATGAGTATTAATGAAAAAACTCAACCAAATTCAGTTTTTAAACTTGTTGCATATCCATAATAAGTTGACCAAACTCAGATTAATAAAAGTAATAGATCAATTTAAACCAGACAAACAGAAAATTGCATAAACTTCATATAAAACAAATGATTGGTTTGATCGATATAATTTGAAGGGCTGGTGTTGAAACAAAGGAACAGGGCAAATGACACATAGTGAAAATAAAAAAGCAATAGTATATCCCTATTAGCTAGATTTTTTGTTGATTTGCTAAGGACATTAAATCATTGTTATCAAAGGAGAGTCGAGTATCACTCGGGTGGCTGAGCAAGGTGAGGCGATTCTCCAATGCCTCAGAAAAAAAATTCAGTCAGGAAGCATCGTAGAAGCGCGAATGAGGAGAATGCCTTGTTATCAGATGCTAAGCGCCCAACTGTTTGCCTCTATGATGCAAATTTTTAAATTCTTTTTTAAAGCATACACAACAATGTTATGGCATAGGGGTGGGTTACCAAACTAATTACAGGGAAGAGAATATGAATGATGAAGAAAATAAAACAAAGAGTAATAAAAATTAAATTAGCCTTATGTTCTAAAAGCTAGCAACTAAAGTTTTTTTTTTTTTTCTTTGTTTAACTCAGAAAATATTTTTGAACCTCGTGAGCACTTTTGTTTTAGCTGATCTATGTGGTAAAGCTTAATCAATTTGGTATTTGGAAAGACACAATTTTAAAATATATTTTTAAAAACTACATTTTAATGTTATGTTGTGATGATTATTCTCTCCAATAATATTTCTCATAACTAACAAGTGGAAATTTTAAACTCTAATTTTGCAAAAGCAAGTGCTTGAGTTTTGGGCATTAGATATACATATGACCATGACATTGATCAGTACCATTTGAAACCTTGCATTTAAAAACACATTGGAGTTTGCATTCCCGAGTTAAAAAAAGGGAAAGTAAAGGAGTTTTGGTTTTGTAATCAAGTAGGGAAAAAACATAAAACATTAAAATTAATAAAAAATAAAAATAAAAATCATGTAGCTATCTAGCATATATAGAGCATCATGCTAAGGATTGGTTGGTTCTGGAACATCTTAGTGATAATGTCATATAGTTCAAAATTTTCTTCTTTCAGTTCTTTGTTACTCAAGTCTTTGTGGCAATTCAAGTGCCAATTCAACCAATAAGGATTCTATATAAATTTCAGCCATATTGATGGCTAACAACAAACAATAAAATGAAAGTGATATATAAGACAACACTGAATTCTGCATTATGTTGTATTTCAAATAACAAAATCAAACAACTTCTAATATAAGCAATCATGCAAATAAAAATATTAAAATGCATATTTTTCTCTATATTTTAACATATCTTTCACTTCAGATAATCCAAGCAGTTGTTTGGCTAAGATATGATATAATTAAAATAAGATTTAGTAAATCTTGTCAATCTAGATTTACTGATTTAGTAAATCAAAATGATGCTAAATCCTTAAAATTATTTAAATGGTGAAGAAGAAGAGGCCCGATGAGTAGTGGTAATGTAAATCTCTTTAATATTACTTCCCTGAAATTAATGAAATCCAACATTTAGCCTAGTATAAGAGAAAAAGATATTTCAGAAAATAGTAAGATTTTTTGGGGCTCAAAAACGATTTAACAATAGTTAGCCTAAATCCCAGTTAAATCAAGAAACCAAAGAGCCCCATAAGTTGAACAATGGATGCAAAGAATCCAAAAACCATAATTCATAGGTACAACATGATATAGTAAGGGCCGTATGGCTTAGGGCATCTCCAACCGAACGGCAAACACTTGTTTGCCGTTCTTGCTTTGCTCCAACCGATCGCCATTTTTGACGCAATTTAATCTCGGATGAACAGTGCGACGCAATATTGGCGTCGCACTGTTCATGTGCGCCATTTTTTTCCTCTCTACCTAACACGTTGGGAAGAAAGGCGCGAAAGAAAACAAACGTTTTAGCGGCAAAATGGCGTTGGATTGGAGATGAAACACGGCATTTTTTGATTTCCCTGCATTTTGGAGTGAAAAATGAGATTTTCGGTTGGAGATGCCCTTAGAGTAGGATTTAGTAAATCCTACTTGTATCCAAACAGCCACATAATGCCAGATTTAATAAATTCTAAGGACTAAAAACCTACAAACCGTTTAACATCACAACTGTTAAATCTTGCAAAATCATGATAGATTGTTCAGCTAATTGTTTCATTATTAAAGTTGTGTGTTAGGAGAAATCCATTAAATCCTGTAAATAATGCGCTTACTAAATTCTTCTTGGAAGGATTTAAGCTAAATCATATTTTAAATCCAGCCTAAAATTGGATACCAAACTGCCCCTAAAGTTGGAAAGCAATTGTAAAAAGTACAAAGTTTGGACATGTTCAAGAATCATTGCCACAAAACTCAACGGAGACCCTAAAGCATTTTAACAATGATCAAAGTAGAAAAAAGAGGGGGTAAAATCAAATGTCAAGAACGCGTTGAAAGCAAAGTAAAAGATCACCTAAAGTTAAACAATTTACTCCAGTCCTAAATTCAACAAACTAGCCTAAAGGATCGCATAACCGAAAGCACTCATAAAAGCACAACATGGAAGGAGGCCAACAGCCAGATTAAAGAACTTCAATCGTCTAACGAGCTGGATCCGCCCAAAAGACAGTAACCGGATCCATGGAATAAAAATCCTACCTTAGCCCTCATAGCGTTTCAGACCCTTTTGAACGCTCTTCCCCAACAGTCTTCGCTGCACCTTCTAGTTTCGGCAATGGATGGATCTCGATTCTCGAATGATCGACCTCTACCAATTTATATTGCCAGGGCTCCACTCGAGGTCGATGCCCTAATTTTCGATGGGTTCGATGGTAGATGTATTTCGTCACTTTCCCTAAATGAACGGCCGCGATCCGATTCATTTACGGTCTACTTGGTGAACCGAACCGGGGATGGGCCGGCTAAGAAGCAAGAACCAAGATGGCATCTATGATAATTTATCTATTTTTATATTAAAAACATGATTTACATATATACCTCAAAATACTTTATTTATATATATTTAATATATAAATTTTAATATTTTCTCATATATTATTTTTTGTCAAAATCATATCAAAGTATTAGCATGAAAATTTACAAAAAAGCATTCTATTTTAAATAAGTTAATATTAATAATATTTTCATTGATAATTATTATGTAAAGAAATGTAAATATTTAAGTATTAAATATGTAACTACATAAAAATTTTATAAATTATATACAAATCCCCAATTAAAAAATTGAAATAGTCCAAACATTTCATAAACTAAAAAAATTGCAATAATACATTTCTACACAAGGAGAATATGAACATCCTTAAGTGACAAGAAAGACTTGTCCCTACTTGCCATTATCCATGTAATAGTGCAAATTTTTAAATAATGAGTTATGAGGGGCATTTTTATTATTATTATATTTTTTTAAATAATAAATTTTATATTATTATTATATTATTCATAATGGATGATGGATTGTAATTAAGATAAATATAAGAACAGAGAAAACGAGTATACGCATGAGTATATGATGGTGAAAATGTGCTTATATATATTTCTAACATTTTCATTTCCTTGTTTGTAAATTTTCTTATTTATACATTTTTAATGGTTCACTTACAATGTCATCACAAATTATTATATTGATATTCCTTCTCATTGAACTACATGTAATGTTTTACCATGTTGCTTATACCATTCCATTGAAAAATCACTACACAATGCTAATCTATGTTGAGTGTAAAAGGAATGATTGAGACTCTTCCTTATGTCTTAGTAAATTGCAAGATGGATTCAAATTTGCGCATGATTAACATCTTAACCCTACTCATGAGTCAAATTAGGCAGAAAAGATAAGAGAAGAGAACATAATGAGTGTGTAAAGAGAAGTACTTTGTAATAAACTACTAGCTCTCTATGAATAGTGAAAAGAATATAATATCATCATCATCTCCAAAGATACGTTTCAACCTTTTATTTATTGAGTTGAGAGAGCTATGAGAGAGACTTCAGCTAAAAAAATATACGGTTAAATAGGTATCTGCACTTATATTAGCACATAAATTTTACAAACGGGTTGAAATCTCTAATCCGAACCTGATCCAGTTTGGATTCGGCTTGACCCGAACCCGAAATTTTTGTGTCGGATTCTAATCAAGTTTTCGAGTCGTGTCAAATACTGAAACCATTAGTTGAAAATACGTTCATAAAAGTCAATATTATAATCATGTAGACTATTCGTAATTGAAAAATAGGAATTACATTTATTTGTTGTTGTATATTTATTTTAAGTATTATGCAGTGATATAAAAGAAATCAATAGTTTATATCACTTTTGGAATTATATGTTATAAATATTTCTATGAAGAAAAATTTTAAACATAACATTCTTAAAAAAACTCTCTCTAAAATTAAATTGCTTTAAATTTATAAAAAAAATTATGAGATGAAATAGAATGATAGTTAATTAAATTTTCTATGCAAATATATAAATTTTGGGAGAATTACATATGTAGCATTCAAAATTTATCTATTTATAAAAATAAAACTAATATCATTTTTTTGAACTATTAAATTCTTATATTACACTTGAATTTTATAAAAGTGAAAAAATACAGATTAAATTTTATTGTTAATTTTGATATTTATTTGACAATTTAAAAATGATATAAAAGACTGTTAATTTTATAAATAATCAAATTTGAATTGTTGTTTGTGTAAAACTGTAAATTGCTCATAACTTTTATCTCTCCTTCGCAGCTCTACGTTTTTTGGCGCTGATAGCGCTCAGCTATGGACAGCGAAGATCCCTCTCCTCAAATGGCATCGCCTCTCGCGGCAACTGGCAATGCGACGGCGGTGGATTCTAAGGCTGGTCTGATGAATTACGATGAGGCTGAGCCTATTTGCCACCGTGAGGGCTGTGAAGCCCTATCGAGGGCGATTTCGTCGACGCTGGGTGCGGTGATGAGCGAGTTCGATTCCAGAGCTGATGGCGCCTCTCGTAGCCAGGATGAGTTGTGTTTGACGATAGATCGACTCACAGGAGGTTAGTATATTGGAAATTTGTATCTTTTGTGATGTTTAGGAGAAATTTATGACATCACAGTTTATCCGAAAGATTGCTTTCTGTGTAGTTGGAATAATGAAATTTGTTTATTTGAGTTTTCATTTGGAAAATAAAGGCAGCTAAATAAAGACCGAGAGGGCTTTGCTATACATGCGTAGTTGAGGTAACTTACAGAAAATTACCTAATGCTATCCAGGCTTGCTACAATCTTCTATTTTATTGAGATTTACATGACCCATCAAGGTTTTTATTTATTTTAAATTGTTGTTCAAAAATTTGTCTCCTAGTTTGTATTATGTCGTTTTTAGCTGGTTGTTTAAGATTTATATGACAATGAAATTCTTGCAGAACAGAAATGGATTGATCATGTTGCATTATTCTAGCTGTGGATTTTGTCTTTCTTTGAAGCATTATGTAGCAGCAAGATATTTGGGGACAAAAACTTTGCAAGCAGATATGATAAACATGTTTAGCTAATAAGTGTACATTTTTAAAGTAAGTATCGTATTAATTTAATTTAACCAGTTAACCAATGGAAAAGAAAAACTCACCAAAGTCGTCCATTTAACGGGCAACCTAGCCCTATCCCTTTTATCACCCAAAAACCCTATTCCCCCATTTCGATAGTCCATCTGTTCTGCGGCGATTTAGCTCCCTTCGGTGAAAACGAGTTTGAGGTAAGTTTTTTTGTGGTTAATATTGTTATCTGTTATGTTTATTTTAAGTTAGAGGAAGTTCTTTCTAAGTATATATGTTATATTTAGTTCTCGCCTAAGTATTTTTGTTAGGTTTAATTATCTATCATTTTCTTGACCAAAAATGGTTTATGTTACACTATTTTGACATTGTATTTGTAGGAGTTCAAAGTATTTTGTGATTTGTGTTTTTGCAGTGTTGGAATGTGATTTTTTTGTGCTTTTTATTATGGTAATTAACTGTAAAATTATTATGTATTATTTTGAGATATATTTATGTTAATTTATTTTGAAAAATAAAAAAAATATAATATAGTATTTTATATTAATATATCATTTATGATAAATGATGTTGTTGTTGTATGATAAATGTTTTTTTATGAATGCTATTTATTTATTTTTAAGGTTATGTAGGTTTATCATAGGATTTGATAAGTAAAACGAAGTAGCACAGTTATGTCTGGATGAGGAGCGTCGTTTGTTCTTATGTATCATGAAGAATTTTTTTTAGATGTTGAGTATGCACCAACGTATATTGGGGGCAGTTATCATTCCTTGTAAGTGTTAACTAAAATGAAGTTGGAGCAGTTGAAGTTTAGGGTACTCAAAGCACTTAAGTATGATACATCAAAGTATACAATGATATTAATTTGTTGTTTGCCCTTATGTAATGAGTTTGTTAAATTATATTATCTACTATTGAACTTAACAAACTTTGCAAATATCTGTAGTGTGATTTATTTTTGACCATGGAGAGGAGATTATATCCATACTTTAGAGGAATTGATGATAAAACCATGCAGCGGGATGTTAACTTTGTTGGTGATTTTTGTCACAGATTGCGCCAACAGATTTACATTGACGATGATCGATATTTTGACGAGGCAGTTAGCTAGCACACAACGTTTAGCCAGGCCCCTACTGCTATAGATTCACACGATGCTGGATCGTCCTCTTACCCTGATGAGGGTCTCTCTCTTATCTACCTTACGATACCAACACCTCTCGACATTCACACCACTTTCACACTAGATTTCGTACCATCATCCTTGGACAAGTCTTCAGCCGCACACCCTGATGTCAGTCTTGAGGACCACCACCATCTATGCACCAAGCCAGTGCGTGCACTACAACATTTCACTCCAGACACTAATGTGATACCACATTTGCATAAGAGGAGGCATTAGTGATATTTATTATGTACCTTTTTGATATTTTAGTTATGTTGTGATATTCACATTGTACTTTATAGATATGAATTATGTACTACATTTTGTTCTATTACATTGATGTTAACCATAATAGTGTAAACTTCTCTTTATTCACTCTAGTAATTATAAAAATATAATAAAGGACAACTATAATAAATCGTTATTTTGATGTTATTATAATATTATATAGTTTCACTGATGGCTAATTCAAAGGTGAGGACTAAAAAAACCATACTACAATTTTACTCCTTAGCAATTCTTTTCAAATCACATCAAACTAACATTCATTCAAGAACAATTAAAAAATAAAGTAAAAAACAACATAACGCAGACAAAATAGTAGAAGATAAAAAAAAACTAATAACTTGAAATGACATCAACATATAAAAAACATGTTAAATATTTTTAATTATCATGCACATGCGAGTTTGGAGTTGGGTCTAAGTTGGGCAACAATTGAAGTGATTCTTAAACTCTTGTTGAATATATTGCCAGTTCTCTCCATTCAAAATTTCCTTCTGTCCTAGTACAACATTTATCATAAGCTTCTTATAGGATTCTAATAAGAATTCATCGTGTTTAGGATATCATTTATGGTAAAGAATACAATGATCTACATCGACCATTGACCTTTCAATGATCACCTCAATAGAACATTCTTTGTCACGACCATTTCACGAATTTGATCCCTAAGAAAGTTCAACGAAACCAAATGCCCGCCATAGGCTCATTTCTTTCTTTCACCATAGTAGAACGCAAGAGCAATGAAAATAAAATAGTAAATTTGGCAACCAATGGAGACATAAATGAATTTTTTTTTTTACATCTCATATCTTAGAGTTGAAGCCCTTCGACTTTTCCACAATTATTGTGCCATAAGTACCCCCCCCAGCGGTGGGATTAGTCATTTTATTAAAACCTAAACAAAAAGTAAAAAAACTGGTGTTTTCCTCTTCCTACATAACTCTTATATTTTTATAAGTTTCAAATTAAAAAGTTTTAAAACTTCTAAAACAAATAAAACCAGCATTATGGAGTTTGAATCTTCATACTGAACTTATATATTTTTTAATATTGTAACTTAACGAATAAAACCAATGTTTATATCTATAAATGGTATGATCTAGCTGCATTCCTGATCACCCACAAATAACACAGCATACCTAAATTAAATTGTAATGGAAATGTGAAAAGGTTAATTAAGTCTAAAACTCAAATTGAATTTGCCACATGACTTTGTGAGGACTTTAAATGCAAATGCTATAAAGATTGGAAATTGAAATTAAAGGAAGGATAATTGGGGAAATCAAAGACACAGGTAGGGTTGTAAGCTATTATCTTTGGTGGTTTTAATGATAGTAGATACCAGGTTTGAAGATAAAGGCATGTGGTAAATAGAGTTAGTGATTGGGAAAATTCTAGTAATTTAATTATTTTTATTAGAATATTATAAATATAATTCATACTTATGCTCCTCAAGTTAGGTTATAAATTTTTTTTGATAAGTCAGTTTTTGTGAATAAAATGGTGGGATTATTGTAACATATAATTCAAGAAGAAAGGCAACTTTTTGTGACCTCTTAAATTAAAATGTAGGTTTCAACAAGGTGGGTATTAGAGGATCCATGATTGGTATGATATAATAGATAAAATTGTGTGACTATATACTTGGATTTCATAACTTTTTATTTTTGGGCAATGATAAGCGATAAATTACAAAATGTGTGGCGTGAAGCCTTGAACCAATGACCTTGAAAAAATAACTTCTCCAACCATTGGACCGTAAATCATTTCATCATAATAATTTATTTGTAATAAGCAATTTTTTGCGTAAGAAGTGAGAGCAAGTCTTAGTTACTTTCTAATGCAGAGTTGCTAAGCGACAAATGAAAATTTCTATTCTAAGAAAGGAAAATCTTTTTGTAAAGATTGCCAATTGGTTCTATCAAACAATTTGACCAAACAATATCAAATAATAGTCATTGTTATATGGATTAGAAATAATAAAAATAATGGTTTCCTTAGGATAAGATGGTGTTGCCAAAAAAAGGAAGTTATTAGTGTTCCAAATTTTCTTTGTAAAAATAGGAATATCAAAACTTTAAAGCTGACCAAACTTGATATGAGATAAAATACTTATTTGTATAACGTTGCTTCTCATATAAGTTATACACGAGTTTAGAAGTATTTTGTGCATGAGTAAGGAGATTTGATGTTGGATTGAGGAGATAAAATAAGTTATCAAGGATAGGAAATGTACATTTAAAGAATGAATAAAATTTTTTTAAGTTACATGATAGTTAAAAGATGGCAGAAGATATTTCTAATGAAAATTAAATTACATCAATATACCTCTTTACTCAGCCTCTCTCTAATATCTCTTTTAATCACTTTAGTATATTAAGTTTATAACTTCTTATTATGGTTGTAGAGATATTACAAAAGATATTCAAATTGAGGTATATTGAAATATGCTATTTGTGAATGACTTGACTTTGATAGGTGAGACATCTTTCAAAGTAAAGAGAGGTTGAATAAATAAATTTTAGTGGAAAATGAGTTTACATTTATGTGAACAAAGATTAAGTCATTGATGTTATATATTGGTTGATATATACCTAAAATTATTAGTCAGTGTTTCTAGAAGATAAAGTCATACTTAAGTTTTTTGTTAATTTAAGTAATTCGAAGGAATTATATATATACAAAAATTTTTAAGGCATATGTAACTTTAATAGATAAAGTTGGGTGGTTAAAAATAGAGAAGTGAGGTAGGACTTTTTTTTGCGTTATCATCGGGACTTAATGATAACTTATTTGAAAATTGCTATTAAACAAACTTTGTTATATGAGCGAGTATGGGGCTACAAAGAAGATTCAAACAACCAAGTTATGCAGTAGAGAGGAGAATGTTAGGATGTGTGCGTAGTATAATAATTTAGGATTGAAGTAAGAAATTATTTGTTGAACATTTGAAAGTCAAAGTTAGAGAATTTATTTTAGGAAAATATTTTTAGAAATTAAAGGAGAGAATCATTGTGATATTCTCTTATGATTTTGTTTCCTAATTAGGGAATTTATTTTAAGAAAGTAATTTTAGGAATAAAATGAGAGATCAATTGTGATCTTGTCCTACGATTTTATTTCTTAATTTTTAGGAAATATTTATTTCCCTATAATCCTGTTTCCAAATTTTAGGAAAGAATTAAGGTAGTTAGTTGTTTCTTTTATTAGACTTTTTTTAATATGAATGTAGATGTAGTAAAGATTTTCAACAAGAATAATAGTAAATTAAGAAATTTTTTATTATTCTACCATAGTCTTTAGCTATCATTGGCGCATCACATATTGAAAACAAATAATTAACTTACCTTATGTTGGCATGTACAATACTGGAAAGAAGATGCATCAATGTCGTGTATAAGTAGAATTATGGTAAAAGAAATGGGAAGAAATGTGGGTAGACAAAGTGTAACATGCAAAGTTATGTGATAAATGCACAAAATTGAGTTGGCACCTAAAGAACCACTCAACAGAATTGAATGGAGAAGGTTGATTCTTAATGCCGGCCTAAATAGTGGGATAAGGCTGATGGTGATGATGGCTTGCCATTGCTCTTTATACATCACATTAGTAAGGTTGTTTCTTAGTTTTGTGCTTCCTACCGATTTGCTATAACCTTGTTTTATTTCTACCGACATGTATGTTAGAGTTTGTACCAAAAGTGTTATTCCATGAAGGACCAAAGAAGTATCCAGTCCTGTAATTCTTTGGTTATAAGAAAGCATTCAAGTAAAAGCAGTCGATTAAATTTTTTTCCATAACACAGTTATTTTTTTAAATTTGGGTTCTTTAGACTACGACGCATTTCCTAGGACTCTGTTATCCACTTCGACAATTTGGTCATGGGCCATGTAGACAATTTAAGAAAATCTTGATATTGTTCTTGACTCAACTGCCCATAATTATTTGTTATAGTTCTGGCAATCAATTTCATCATGTCGTTCACCTGGTGCCTTTTACATATAAATCAATACTTCTTGAATGATCATGCTAACTCAAAGACAATTTGATCTATAAGGCAGAAATATGACCCTGTCAATTAGCGACACTAACTGTGCTTTCATATGAACATACGATTTCAGTAACATTTCTGTCATTCATAATTTATACTTTTGGTATATCCTTAACATTACTGAACAAAAGTTTTTTTAGTAGCATTTTTATAGTACATACATTGTACCTTTTGCATATCTTAAATGTTAGTGAACTAAAAAAGGATATATTATACTTGCAGAGTTAGACAAATTACTGGAAGATGCACCATTGTCCTTCATAATGCAAAATGCTGCCAAGATTACATCTGTTCGTAGGAGAGTTTCTGCTCTAAATTTGGTGTTGAAATCAATACAGAGGCGTCTGGATAACATTGATCGAATGCTATCTACTAGTTTACCTGAAGGTAATTCATGATTCTTCATGACTTGCGTTTTGTTTGTAATTGCTCAAACATAAAGAGTGTCCATAAAATGTGAGGCCCCCGTGAATACTATTTTGGGTAAGAGTTGACGTAACCAATCTTAACGCCTATATTACAGAGATCCGCTTTGATGATCAAGAAATCAAAACTCATGTATCTCAAGTCACAGTGGTTGTCACCTTGTCTTTGTTTTAATGTGTCGTTCAAGCATGTAAGTAAAACAAAATAAAATGGTTAGGTTCATTTTAGTGCTTTCATGTTTCAAATCGAAATTATAGATTGTAATGAGGGTTCCATGCACTCAGCATATGTGCATTTGATGAATTTTTTGTTTACAATCTTTTTTTCCCCTTTAAAATCGTTATACTTGTCTTTTTATAGGCTTGCTTGGCAACATCAGTCATTGAAAGAGACTCTTAGGCAACATAAGATACCCCCCACCAACACCCTGCAAACTTTGTATTCCATTCTATCAGTTATAGTCCACTGCGTGCACTTTCTGAGTAGTTAAAATCGAGTTCTTCAATAAATTCCCTGTATGGCTGACAAAAAAACCTCGATTTGTGAATAGTTTGTGTTCGAGTCAATAGTTGCTTATATTCTGCATGTTTGTTTAGTAAGTGATATAAATTTGAACTAGAATTTTCAGCTCATTTACTAAACAAACCAAAAATGAACACGACCCAACTCGATTATATTTGGCTCCAAAAGAGCTCGATGCTTAATTATATATATATCATCATCTGTATACATCTACTTATACAAATAAATGTTTACTGATTACATATTTTACTATTATAAGGAGTCAAATGTATTTGAAGTTTTGAACATGGAAGTTGTATTTTAAGTTCTATTATGCAGTTATGCTTGAATATTGTTTTTACTATGCAAATCACAATTTCGTACAATTGAAGATCAATCAAAATTTTTTTGTGCTGTTTATGGTCTTCGACTTGACTTCTTGTTCATATTTGAGTTGGGCTTAACTTGTTTGTGAGCAATGTGAATACAAACAAGATTTTACCCTTTGTTTTAATAGATCTAGAGTATTTGGTGAATGAATTTTCTGTTTTCGCTTCAGAGAAACGTCCTCCAGATATTGTCAAGGCTTCATAATTGGCTTTATTATTCAGGTACTATTTTCTTCAGTGCTGCTATGATAACTGACAAATGCTTTCTGGTACTTGATTTTCGTGGACTAGAGAGGCCTTGCATGTACATCATCTTTTTTAGGCCACTTTTGGTGCAAGCATGCAAATATTATTGCATAAAGAAACCACAAAAAGTGCACTTCACAGTTGCATGTAGTTGTTGAACTTTAGATTATAAAAAATTTTCTACTGATTTGGTAGATTCTAGAAACTCTAATGTTTTGATTTAGAACCACCCAGTTATCTGTAAGAGTGCATGAGAGCATGTGAAATGATTGAGCATTCTTTCATGTTACATAACTTGCACATTCTTTAAATCAGCAGTGCTTCTCACAATGGTTTATCTTAAACGCTGCATCGCACTAGCTGTCTGTAGGGCAAGTGTGTCTTGCGGCGTGCTAAAATTCTAAGGCTTTCGTTTGGGACGGCTTTTTAAATGCTTCTTAAAGTAGCTTTCTAGTACAAATTTTTTAATATTTGTACTAGATAGCAGCTTTAAGAAGCAATAAAAAAGCCGTCCCAAACGAAGACTAAAACACACCAAGTGGTTGCTACGGATGGTGGATTTTGTACAGTGGAAAATCTAACCCCATGGGAGTATTAATAACACTATGTATATCAATATAGTGTCCATTTGAAACGGTGGTTTAGATTACCTCCCAAAAATATGTTTTCATAACATTATATGTTCTATTTGTTAGATGAGTAAATTCATTATTTAATTAATTATGTGCTTATGAGTAGTTTATCATATGATAACATGAAAGTTTGTGTAAGGGTATTTTTTCAGTCATTTTGTACTTATATATCAGTGCAACAACAGTTTTTTTTACCAAGCAATGATAACTTCTACAACTCTTTAAAAAGCAATCTTACCAAACAGTTATCTATAATGCGACACAACATAATACATGAATGGAAAACAAAGCTATAATAATTCATGAATAACCCTAAGTACCTGCAACTGAAAAGGTTATAATTCTATCAGAGATGTTAAATTGAGAAACAAATCAAAATGGTCCATTGATTTTTTATGAAATATCAAAATAATTCCCAACTATATTAAATGACTATTTTGATCCCTCAACTCTTTAACAACAACAACAACAACAACAACATCAAGCCTTTATCCCACTACGTGGGGTCGGCTACATGAATCCTTTTTCTCCATTGTGTCCTATTAAAAGTCAAATTCTCGTTTAAATCTAATAAAGGAGTCCTCCTATCATTATATGCTATATGTAAATTAATGGATGATTTTTTTCATTGGTTTTATGCTATATGTATTTGGGTTTTGTATTTTTTTTTATAAATTTTGTCATTTTTTGGTATTTATCTTTGTCTTACTCCTATCATTATATTGTTATAATATTTGTTTTATAAAAAATAATAAAATTAAATCCATAAAAATATTAGAAAATTGAACCTTAAATAAATATATGCCAGAAAAGCTTGAAAACTGATCTGGTTTATTGCTTGGTTCGACTGCTTTTGGTCTATTAAAG